TAATTATAGCGCTTATCTCCCAGGGCTGTTATAAGGATCCAATGAGATAATGTTTATAAAGTGTTTAGCACATAGTAGGAGCTATATAAATGCTAGCTATTGATCATTACTGATATTTTTCTTCACCATACTGGACTTCCAGGGTCAAAGGAAAACAACCTGTTTGGCATTGAAAAGGAGGAGATATGGGAGAATTCATGGCTACTCTAAGGTCAGTGTGGTATATATGCATATTGTGCCATGCCATTTTGGGTTGTACAATACCTTGACCATTTTTCAGAGGTTCATAAATCTGGTTTTTCCATACGTGGTGATTTATCTCGTATAACACCTTCCTCTGGGCTCACTCCACCAAATTGCATTGACACTGGCAGATTTCATAAAGGCAAAGGTTACTTAGGGTTCTAAGGGTAACACTGTAAGTGATTATTCCTAACAATGTAGCTCATGAGTCCACATTAAGTGCTTCCTGTCCCATCAGCTGGTAGATTCAGTTCTTAGCAAAGACATTTACTCAAATACCAATAGTATGAATATAACACATTTTACTTCCAAAACCTGGGGTGCCCTCCTACAAATGTATAGAGTCCATTGGGGGAAAAGTGGGAAGAAACAGTGCAATAGTGGTAGTAAAGCAAATGTGTGGGGAACACACATGAACTGGAAAGGTTCCATTTCTTTTCTTTATCCAGAGACTTCTCACTAAGTTCTTTTTCAATGTAAGCATTTACACCTCAGAAATTGGCAAACACTACAAAATCAGGACTGGATTTATTATTTTGTGGCTTGGCCGGTCTTAAGAAAATGATGGAGAAAATGTTAATAATGCAGGTTAAATTTTAAAGGGTGTAGGCAGTACATTTTTTGGGAGTATGTCCATAGTTAAACATTTACCAGCACACCCTTGAGTAGGTTACACCCTACCTAAATGAAACACCTAATTGTGCCCCCTGTCTTCTCCATCCTGAAAGCCCCTCTTAGTAAGTGGAATGGGCTGCCTCTGGGAACACTGGCCCTGGAGATCTTCAGAGTCTGGTTGGAAGTCAGGAAGGTTGTAGAAGGATTCATGCTTTGGGAGGGGTATGACTAGATGAACCATGTTCATAAATTTGTAATTATATGTTTATAGACCATCTATAAACTATAATTCTTTGTACCATCTGCACTTTTTCCCCTGCTACTACCATCGTGGAAGGGGTAGTAGAGGATTCAGGGCATCTTCCCCCCTTGTTTCATGGATTGCCATGGCCAAAGAATTCATCACCAAGTAGCTAACCTAGCGGTGATGAGCTTCTCCATGCTTAGCTAGGCCAGGCTTTGGAAAGTAGACTGTTATCCATACCAGATTTGAAAGCTTTTCAATATAATAAAACCTGCCAGAGCTTATGCTCATGGCCTTTGATTTGTTGTTGAGTTGGAGCTGACTCTTCATGACTGTCTATAGAATTTTCTTGACAAAGATGATGGAGTGGTTTGCCATTTTCTTCTTCAGTGGATTAAGGCAAACAGAGGTTAAGTGACTTGCCCAGGGTCACGTAGCTAGTGAGTTTCTGAGGGCATATTTGAACCCAGGTCTTCTGACTCCAGGCCCAGCTGCTCTATGCACTGAACCATCTAGCCTTTAGTTATCCAAGGTCAAATGCTGCCACAATAAGGCATCAGAAGAAGTGCTTTGTAGAAATACCTAAACCTGAAGTTCAATCAAATTCAATGATCTTTTATTAAGTGCCGGGTACTGTGGTTGCTGGGGATACAAAACAAGACAAAACAAAAGCTAGTCCAAAAGTCCTCAAGGAAATTAGGGTTTTTTTGGTGGGGAACAACACGAACCCAAATCAATACAAAATCATTTCAGAGGATGAGAGGATCTCTAACAGGACCGCTTCTTGAAGGGGGTGACACTCAAGCCAAGCTTTCCAGGGAGCTAGGATTTCCAAGGGAGGGGGCAGGGTGAGGACGGACAACATTCCAGAGACTGGGGACAGCAGGAGGGAGACAGCATGTCCCGGGTGGGGAACAGCAAGGAGGCCAGTATGGCTGAAAATTATAAGAGTACGGGAGAGAAGTAATGTGTAATCAGGCTGCAAAGATAGGTTGGAGCCAGATTAAATACCAGAGGAGTCTAAAAAGCTCCCTGCAGAGTCAGAGCTTCCAGAAGGGAAACTACTAAACACCTGGAGGCCAAGTTAAAAAGGAAGCACTAGTCCCACGGCCGGAAAGAATGAGAGCCGCTCCCCTCCCCGCGGCCCCTTTCAAGTTACTGCCAGGATAAAGCTCCATAAACACTTAAAATCACCGAAACTCCGAGAGGGGAGGGGCCCCAAGGGGGCGGCGTGGGCAGAGACCAGATCACAAAGGGCCTGGTGTGCCTAGGAAGGGTTTTGTACCCCTACCTACGGAGGGCTGGGGCTGGAGGTGGAGCGAGGGCGGGGACGGGGGGCGGGGCAGCAGGATCGGGCCTGGGGCTAAGCACTTGGGCTGAGGCTGGGCCTGGGACTGAGGGGTGGGGCTGGGGCTAAAACGAGGCGGATCTGGGGCGGGAGGGGGGAGGGGGGAGGGCAGCAGGATTGGGCCTGGGGCTGAGGCTGGGCCTGGATTTGGGGGGGTGAGTCGAGGACTGTGACAGGAACTAGAAGGGGTGGGGCTGGGGTTAGGACGAAGTGTGGCGATTGGACTGGGACTGAGAGTTTGAGCTGGGGCTGGGATGGGGGGTCTGGGGCTGGAATGGGGGTTGGGGCTGGGACTGAGACTGAGGGGTGGGGCTGGGGCTGGGATTGGGGGGTGGGGCTGGGACTGAGACTGAGGGATGGGCTGGGGCTGGGATTGGCGGGGTGGGGCTGGGACTGAGACAGGGCTAGGGCTGGGGCTGGGTAAAGGGGAGGTCTAGAGCTCTTAACACCTACTTAGCTAATGATGCCAGCCTTGGCGTCCAGTGACATTTGGGGCTTGAATATCTATGTGTCCCGTCCACTTCACGTTCCAGTTTTCTTGAAGCAGCCCCGGGGAATCAGGGGTCTAGGTAAAGTCCTAGGTAAAGTCCTGGAGAGCTAGGCTTGCAGGATTCCCAGCCATCCTGACCTGTAGGCTTTTCCTGGGACACGACCGGTGTCGCTTCCAAGGCTCCAACTTGGGGATCGGTTCCGGCCGGTACTCAACCCGCCAGTTTCCGAAACCAGTGTGGTCCTTGGAGCCAGGCCTCTCCTCGGAGAAGTGCTGCCCATCCCTAGGGACCCAGGTGCACTTGGGGTCTAGGTCTGCTGGAGGATTTGCTGTCTCAATCTTCCTTCAGCAGATGGAAAATCAATTCAATAAACATTTATTAGGTGCCTACTATGTGCCAAGCACAATGCTAAGTGGTGCATACAAATATGAAAAAGACAGTCCCTGCCCTCAAGGAGCTTACAATCTAATGGAGTAAGACGACACACAAAAGGAAGGTGAAAAATAGTGTGCGTATTTTGGGGTAGGGGTGAGTGGGGAAAGAACAAGGGGTAAAAGCGCCAAGGCATGATGTTCTGTGGAGTTGAAACTGCTGATAGAAATGGGATATTACCCAGAAGGTTCTGAGCCCTCAATCAATAAACATTAATTAAGTTTCCACTGGGGATAGAAGAAAAGGCAAAAGACAGTCGCTGCCTTCAAGGAGATTATACTCTAATGGGGGAGAGAACATGCAACAAATATATACAACCAAGTTATATACAGGATAAATAGGAAATAATTAAGAACGGGAAGGCACTGGAGGGGTTGGGGGAGGCTTCCTGTAAGAGGCAGGATTGGAACTTAAAGGAAGCCAGGGAGGTCAGTAGTTGGAGTCAGGGAGGGGGAGTATTCCAGACATAGGGTTCAGCCAGAGAAAATGTCCAGAACCAAGAGACGGAGTGTCTTGTTCATGGAATAACTAGGAGGCCAGTATCACTGTTGTACGTGTTGGAGGAGTAAGAAGGGCTTTGATTGCCAAGCAGAGGATTGTATATTTAATCCTGGAAGTGATAGAGAACCTTCCTGGAGTTATTGAGTAGGGAGTGACACAGAGAGATCTGAGCTTTAGGAAAATCAGAGCGGGGAGAGACTTGAGGCAGGCAGACTCTTGTAATAGTCCAGGTGTGAAGTGAATAGTAGCAGTGTCAGAGGAGAGAGGGGAGCGTTAGAGATGCTGCAAAGGTGAAATCGACAGGCCTAGGCAACAGATTGGGCGTGGAGGGGGAGGTGAAGCGGTGAGAGGGAGTGAGGAGAAGAGGATAAATTCTAGACAGCGAGCCGGAAATACGGGCAGATTTGGGTTGCCCTGTGCTGTAATAGAGAAGGTAGCAGAAGCGCAATGTTTAAGGCAGGCTTTGGGCGGAGTTTATGGCTCCGCCCTCCAGAACTCCAATCAGAAGGCGGAGGCACCTGAAGGCGCTGAGAAGGTGTTGAGTATCAGAAATGCGAGTCCATCTGTGAGATGGTGAGATTTCCGGTGATCTGCTTATCTGGGGAATGAGCATTAGAGCTGATCTGCTTCTCAATCAACAAGTTTACAAGTCACAAGCATTTATTAAGAGCATACTGTATACCAGTCACCGTGGGAATATAGAGGAAAACCAAACGTGTCTCCCTCCTGCTCCCCGCTAAGTTTCCACCTCTTTATTTTGTCTGTATTTATTAGAATATAAGCACCTTGAGGGTGCGAACTGTCCCGTTTTCGTATTGTTTGTAGCGCCTAGTAGGAGGAGCTTAATAAATGCATATTGACTGAGCCCATATAAAATAAATAAACAAAGATGGTTGGTCCGAGGGGAAGTGGGACTAGCTGCACGTAGGAGAGTTGGGCAAAGCCTATGAAAAGATATGGCCGAAAGGCGCCAAGGCTTCAAAAAAAAAAACCCGAAGCCACTGAGTCCTCCTTGTAGCCTAGAACGGCCGGAGAGAAACCTCGGACTTGGCTGGGGCGGCTTCCGGGGGGAGCTGGAGTCCGGCAAAACACTTCCGTCCGAGGCTGGCTCCCTCCTTTTGTGAGGGCATCCTGGTTCGGCCAGTCGATCGCGCGCTGCGGAGCTGAGGGTGAGTCCGGTATATACATGCTAGTGGCTGTCATCGTCATCATCATTATTAACAATAATACTATTTTCTTAGCGGTAATAGGGAGCAACTGAAGGTTTTTGAGCAAGAGAGGAGTGATATGTTCAAACTTGTGCTCTAGAAATATCATTTTGCCAGCATCTTGGAGGATGCATGAGGGGAGTGGGGAGGTCTAATAATCCAGGCAAGAGGTGATGAAGGAATGAACTTGGGTTGTAGTCATTTTAAGTGGAGAGAAGGGAACAGTATGTGAGAGCCCTTATGGAGGTTGTTGGCAAGACTACTTGGGGGCTTGGAGATACAACATTTGCACAGTTAAATAAAATACAATACAATTCGAGGAGTGAGAGGGCACTTATTAATCATCGGTAGCAGGACAGGCTTCCAATAGGAGGCAGCACCGGAGATGAGTCTTGGAGGATGCACAAGTCATTGAGTATCATCTTCTTTGCTACGGTGTAATCCAGGGTTAGTTTTTTTCCCCTCCTGGCTCATAGCTGCTGCAGCAGCTGGATGTGGGGAGAGGTGAATTTTCCATCAAAGAAATTTCCAACAGAGACAGGGATAACTACCAGGATCTCAGAGCTGTGGTTTGACTCAAAGTGTCAGATACCACCTGGCCCGAAGGAAACCATTTGTTTTTCAGTAATCGAACTCCCTGGGTACTGCTTTGAGGTGGAATAATTGGGGTAAGGGGTAAGGGGAAGGAGTCGGGGAGGTGATGAGTTCAGTCGTGCTCGACTCTTCATGACCCCTTTTGGGGTATTCTTGGCAAAGGTACTAGAGTGGTTTGCCATTTCCTTCTCCAGCTCACTTTACAGATGAGGAAATGGAGGCAAAGTTAAATGACTTGCCCAGGGTCACACAGCTAGTAAGTGTCAGAGGCCAGATTAGAACTCAGGAAGATGAGCCTGACTCCAGACCCTGCCTCTCTATCCACTTTGCCACCTAACTGCCCCAGTTGATGAGCAGTGATAAGCAAATGAAGAGGAAGAGAGAAAAAAGCATCAGTAAAACACTAAGAAATGTAGTAAAAAGAGCTGAAGCGAGTTCAGAAGGTGACCCAGGCAGGTAATCTTGTCACTGAAGTGTTCAATTAATATGCATTAAGAAAACAAACACATGAGATTTCACAATTTTATATACAAACTTATTTTTCTCTTCTTTGTATATTGAAACATTCACTTTTTATTATGTTAATAATAAAAAACAAAATTTAATGTAAAAAAAAAAGGTTTCAAGACCTAAGCTACGATTTAACTCAGCTGTGTGCTTCTGAGAGCCTAAGGACTCCAGAAGAATTGCCTGGCTTTGTGTCATTTGGAAATTTAATAGATATCAACTGTCATTGATGCCTGTTAGGCCTTTATCAAAGTCACTAATAAAATGGGTAGCAAGCAGCACAGCTCGGGTGCCTGGAGCACTCAGATCACAGATCACAGAATTTCAGAATTGGAAGAGATCTGAGCATCTATTTAGACTAACCCTTAACCTGAGGGAAAAAAGTCACATCATTAAGCTGGCACTTTATTAAGCGCCTAGAATACATAGAAAAACAAAGAAAGACCCTGTGGTAGGGGAGCTCACAGCCTAATGGAGGAGACAGTGCAAATAAGCGTGTACAAATATGATACATACAGGATAAATTGGAGATGTCAAAGGGAAGGTGCTGAGATTAAGGAGCCTGGGCAAGGTATCCTGCAAGAGTTAGGCTTTTGGGAGCAGCTAGGTGACACAGTGGATAGAGCACCGGCCCTGAAGTCAGGAGGACCTGAGTTCAAATCCGGCCTCAGACCAAACACCTGACACTTACTAGCTGTGTGACGCTGGGCAAGTCACTTAACCCCAATTGCCTTAAAAAAGAAAAGAAAAGAAAAGAAAAGGACTAGACCTGTGGTGTACAATTGTGAGAAAGCTGCTTGCATCAATCTTTGGATCTGACTGGGCTTCTGGTCTGCATAAACTCGGTCCTTGAGTAAGGGTCTCTAAGCTGTAGGGAGAGGTTCAGTTTCCCAGCCACTTAGGGCAACGTTCAAACAATCCAATGACATTTTCTCCCAATTCCCACAACCGAATAAGTTTTCTCATAAGACAGAATTTGGCCTAGACCCATAATTGAGTAGAAACTAAGCTAGCACCAGAATTGAATCACAAGGTGGAGTCAATGTGGTTCACTTAATTCCCACAATTAACCACTTGCTGTGCTAATCTTCTCAATTTCAATTGAGTCCAATCTCTTCATTTTATAGATAAGGAAAGGAAGATCCACCAAGGTGAGGTGACCTAACCAAGATCACACAGGTAATAAGAGGAGGATTGGGGGGAGATTTGAATCTAGATCCTCTGCCTTGAGAGATTTTTGCCAGGATCAGTGCTCTTTGTACCACAAGGCCTCCTGTACCACAATTCATTACAAATTGTTCTTGGGGAAAAGAAGGGAGAGAGATGAAGTCGACGACAGTATAAATTCCAAACTGACTGAATGGCCAGATTTTTCATTAATAGGTCCATGCCAACTTGTAAGGCTTCTAGTGTAAAGCAGTGGTAATTCCTGGTACTCTGTCCGTCAGATCACATCTAGAATATACTGTGTTCAATTCAGAGAATGTTTAGCCTGGTAAAGAAAAGACTCAGTGGGGATATGCTAGCCTTCTTCATATAGATCTCAAGGATTCTCATGTGGAAGAAGAACTATATTTGTTTTGTTTGGCCCCAGAAAGCAGGATTAGGAGTGATGAGCGGAAATTGCAAAGAGGCAGATTTAGGCTTGATGTCAGGAAAAAAGTGGGAATGGAGTGCATCGAGAGGCGGTGGATTTCCTTCCTTGGGGGTCTACAGGTAAAGACTGGATAAAGACTTGTTGGATATGATGTAGTGGGGATTCTACTTCTGTAACATCTCTCCTATAGCCCCCCCTTCTCTCCTCTGACACTTCCACCACCCAGGTCATGCTCACAAACAGTTATGCTCTTAGTTTGAGGGGTTGTTATGATCATCTTTTTTATTGTACTATTATGGAAATGCTTGTTTTGTTCTACCAATTGAAAATAAAAGAACATTTTTAAAAAATGAACCCATGAGAGGGGTAACTGGAGAGTCCCAGGGTGTGGTTCTGAGGTAGCTGAAGACATAGCTGGTTTCACTTACAGCCATATTTTCTTCCTTCAGTTCTATATGTTCTCCAGGGTTTTGCCTGCCCTTCTAAGGGAAAGCCAAGAGACAAGGGGATGGAAACCAAACTCCTACCATCTGAGCTCCAGGTGAGCTTTCCTTTCAGAGATCCTTTTGGGGTTCTAGCCCTTAGTGTGGCCTCAGATCCTTTGTCTTCTCTGTGAGCTTCTCTGTCTGGTAACCTTTTCTTTCTTAAGGCAGAACTCTAAAAACACAATTCCCAAGACTGAGGCTGTTGTGTCGGGAAGAGGGCTCCCATTTCAACAGTTCCCTGATAGGCAGGGCATCCTTTGCACAAACACATCTGTGCAGTATTAGAGAGTTTTCGGGCCTAGGTCCTATGATTTTCTCTGAGTGATTATGCCCAAGGTGGGGGATTTCCAGCTGTTTTTGACACCCCCCCATTTCAGGTTTGGAAGTACGCTCTTGTCATTTCATGTAGTGTAATAATATTCCATTTCATTGACATGCCACAGTTCTTTTAGCCATTCCCTAAGCATTGGCCTTATATGTTGTTGCCAAGGTTTCTTCCCACTCTAAAATTCTGTGATTCTATGGAAATAAATGACAGCTGAACTGTACTGCTGCTGTCAGTTAGCTCTTCATTGAATTGCAGGGGAATGGTTTGCTATCTACTTTAGTTTCTTGTATGAGAGGGCTATTTCAACTTCTTTGTAAGTCAGGCTCACAGTATCCAGCCAGAGTCTCTTAAATATGACTTTTGAACTGCTTTATTTCTATCTCTACTACCTCTTTTTGAATTCAGTTTACTCTTTGAATTGTTATGAAAATTCCTTTCAGTTCCCATCATGTCCTGAGTCACTACCTGGGTCCATGTAAATGGGAGCTTAATCCAGTAAGACTTGGAAGATAAAACTAGCAACTTTTCCCCTTGCCTGCAAAAGAACTGCTGCTCTCCCTGCATTACTAATTTTTGCCAGTTTGACAGATATATAGTGGGGATCAGGAAAGGGATCCCTTTGTGATCCCTACCAGGTAGTTGTAGGGAACAGGAAAGCCTTCATGTAGAAGGTAATGTGTGAACTGAATCTTGAAGGAAGACAGATATTTTGGGAGGCTGAGGGCGAGAGAAAGCAATTATGTTCCAGGCATGGGGGATGGCTCTGCCCACAGGCAAGAGATGGGGTGTTGTAGGTGGGGCCAATTTGGCTGAATTATCAAGTGTGGGAGGGAGAGTCCAGTGAGACTGGAGAGATAGTTTGGGGCCAGGTTGTAAAGGGTTTTGAAAAGGAAATAGAGGAGTTTATATTTTATCCCAGAGGGAATGGGAAGCCACTGGAGTTGATTAAGTGGATGAGTGACAGAGTCAAATCTCCTCTTAAAGAAGGTCAGTTTGGTAGCAGTGTGTAGGATGGACCAGAGAGAGGAGAATCTTGAGACAAGAAGATAAATTAGGAAACTGTTAACAATAATCTAAGCAAGAGGTGATAAGAGCCTAAGCTACAGTGGCAGGTGTATGAGTAGAGAGAAAGGCTAGGAAGGGAGATATTTGGAGATACAGATGGCAAGATTTTGCAACTAATGGATATATAGGATGGGGGAAAGTCAAGAATCAAGGATAATGCCAAGGTTACAAATCTGGGAGCCCAGAAGGATGGATGGCGGTGCCTTTGACAAAAATAGAGATACTTGGAAGATGGGAGGTATTAGGGGTAAATAATTAGCTCTGTTGTGGACATTTTGAATTTGAGATATTTTTGAGACATCAAGTTTGAAACATCTAGTAGGCAATTAGTGAAATAGTACAGAAGCTCAAGAGAGACACCAGTGATGGATATAGAGATCTGTGAATCATCCTCATAGAGATAGTAATTAAACCCATTGGAGCTGATGAGGTTGACAAAACAGAAAGGAGAGAGAGAGAGAGAGAGAGAGAGAGAGAGAGAGAGAGAGAGAGAGAAGAGAAAAGGGCCTAGAATAGAGCACAGGGGAATACCCACAGTTAGGAGTATTATGGATGATGAGCTGGTAGAGGAGCCTGACAAAGAGCAGTCAGACAGGTAAAAAGAGAACCAGGGGAGAGAAATGCCACAAAAACCCAGAGAAGAGAGTGCCCAGAAAATGAACAGTAGAATCAATATGACCAATAGGTCAAGGAGAATGAGGAGAAAAGAACATCAGTTTGGGGAATTAAGAGATTCATTCATTGGTAACTTTGAAAAGAGCAGTTTCATTTGGGAGATAAGGTTAGTGGACACATTCCACAGGGTTGTTGCAGTGAGTGATAGGAGAGGAAGTATAAGAAGCAAAGGTAGACAGCTTTTTGTAATTTGGCTTAGAAAGGGAGAAGGTATACAGAATGATGGCTTGAGGTGATGCTGCAGTCTAATGAAGGTTTTTTTCAGTGTAGGAGAGACTTGGGTATGTTTGAAATCAGTAGGGAAGGCAGCTGTAAACAGGGAGAGGTTGAATATTTGAGAGAGAGAGAAAAAAAGAGAGAGAGAGAGAGAGATAGGGGGGTTACAATTTGCTGAACAAAAATGTATAGCTTGAGGTCAAGTGTACATGTAGAGGGCTTGGCTTTGGCAAGGAGAAGGGCTACTTCCTTGTCAGGTATTAGGGGAAAGGAGTCAAGAGTGGAGCAAATGTCATGGGATTTTGAAATGAAGAGAATGGGAGAAGAAGGAGCTCACATCTAATAGCCTCAGTTTCCTCAGTAAAGTTAGAGGTCAGATTTTTAGCTGACAGAAGAGGAAGCAGAGAGATGAAGGTATAGGAGGCTTAAGGAGGGAAGAGAAGGTTTCAAATAGCTTCTGTGAAGAGTGAGATAATGAATCCGTTAGAGATAAAAACCTTTCCCTGCTGCAGTGAGGGCCCAGTGAATTTAAAATGTACCCAGTCATCCAGTTATGTGACCTCTTCCAAGTCCTTTCAACAGCCCATGAGTGTGGGCAGAGGAGGTAGGTGGTGGGAGTAATCCAGGCTGAGGTTTGGCAAAAAGATGGGCCATGATAGTACAAGAGGTGAGGGATTTGAGAGCAGAGAACAGTGTAGAGTTGACTAATTCAGTATAGTTGGCTAACTATAGAGTCAGGATTGGAAAGGGAGGAGAGTAAAAGCAGAGCAGGGTGAGACTGAAGGTCTTAATGCAGAATAGGTGCAGAATAGGTTTAGTAGGGTTGAGGCATAGGGAGAGATGGAATGATAGTAGGAATTAGGAGGGGTATTGCCCACTTTGTGGAAACCTGGGCCTCCCTGGATTCCTTTAACTTTCTTAGCATTAGACCTGGTTAGCTTTATATTTAAATTAGCTTTTTATTTAAAATGCATTAGTTTCTCACAACCCTCATCCACTATTTCCATTTGAATATTTGTTTTTCTCTGGGCCCCCTTTTAAAACACTGCTCTCCCTATGGCATGTTGGGTCTGTTTCTCCTCAACCATTTTGAAATTCTGAGCTCCCCTTGAATCCTTGCTCTCTGAAAATCTACCAGTGAGCTCTGGTGCTTTCAAGGCAGGCTGAGCCTCCCCGTTCATTCCTGGCTACTGAGTCTCTCAGATGAGAAGTGAGTAAAGGAGCTTGGTGACCTTTACATTCTGAGCTCAGTCTCGACTGTTCTTCCTAGGCTGTCTGGCACATTTTTGTTTGCCAAGTCTACAGTTTCATGGAAGCTCACAGAGGCTTTTTTCCCCAGAAGTATTCATGGATAAATCTGAACTTTTGTTTGTTTTCAGGGACTTGTAGAGGCTCTTCCTTTTTTTGGAAGGAACTCCTGAACTCTAGCTAACTCCCTGGACAAAGAGCTTGTTAGAAACTTTGTGTGCTTTTCTTTGGAACTTTTCCACAGCCCTCTTGTCAGCCCTGATGAGGATAATGGAGATTTTCATCCTCTATGTTTGGGGGGAGATATTCTTTGGGATAATTCCTCCAAGTTTTTGCAATCTAAACTCCATTTTGTCTAGCTTCTTCTTTATCCTATTCTCTGATCTTTTAGAGGACTTTGTATCTTAGCCATAATTCCCTTTGTTTGGATGTGAGTTATTTTTTGAACAGGATAAAGGCTACTCACTGAGAACAACTTCCTAACAATTAGTGCTGTCCCAAAGTAGAAAAGGGGGTCGGTTTCCCTTCATTGGAGATCTCCAAGCAGAGGTCTACAAGGCAGCCACTTCTACCTCTGACCCCAGGGCCAAGGATGGTTACTCTCCCTGAAGCTGCAGCAGTAACCTGTTGTTTCAGGAATCAGTGGTGTTTGAGGATGTGGCTGTGTACCTCACCCAGGAGGAGTGGGAATGTCTGGGCCCTGCTCACAGGTGTCTCTACAGAGGTGTGATGCTGGACAATTATGAGAACATGGCCTCACTAGGTAAGGCCTTTCCCTGGGACTCAGGCCGGAGCTTCTTAGCTGTCTGCTTTATAATAACCATGGGGTCCAAAGGATTTGGGTGACTTACGGCTTAGTATTTAGGGATTAAGGATTCTTGATCTTATATTGGCACGGAAAGGGTCTCCTTTCTGTTCCTTGACCATAGCCTGTTCTATACAGAGCTAGAAATGGGTTGCTTCCTTGACTTCTCCATGACGCTGCACATTTCCCATCCTCTGAATTCCCTCTAGGAGACTAGCCTCACTGTCTTTGGCCCAGAACTGTCACCAAGATCCAATTTGGACATCCCCAGAGGTGAGAATTTCCTACACTTCTCATAAGTTGAAGACATGAGCTAATAGTTTCCAGGGCCCAGGTCACCTCCCTCCTTGACCTCCCTCATCCTATGGGTAGTAAAGTCCTGGAATTCTTCCAGAGGGTGCATAGGCCTTTCTAGGCCTTGCTGTTGAAGTCTCTCTGAACAGTTCTTTACTCCTCCCAGCTGGTGCCTATAGATCCAAGGGCTGGGCCTGAGCTTGGGTTAGCCCTGTTAACCCAGGATAAACCACCAGGTCCTATTTTCTTTCTCACAAGCAGGATTTCCTGTGTCCAAACCTGATGTGATCTTCTGGCTGGAGCAAGGAGAAGAACCATAGTTCTTGGACATACAAGGAGCTGCTAGGAGAGAGTCTTTGAGAGACAGCTGCTTAGGTGGGTTAGTAAGCGGAGAACATTTCCTTCCTTTAGTCTTGTTTGTTGTGTCATCATTTTACAGATGAGGAAACTGAGGCAAACAGAGTTAAATGACTCGCCCAGGGCCACACAGCTGAGGCCAGAATGACCTTGTTTGTGTCTATCTGTTCGCTCGTTGTCTCCCCCATTAGATCATGAGATCCTCAAGGGCAGGGACTGTCTTTTATCTCCTGTAGGACACAGTGAAGCTTGACTCTAGCATAGTGATGCCATTTTGGTCCTCTTCGAGAATGAAGGACAACAATCAATCCCCACTGCTTAGTTTGGTACCTGGCACATTGTAGATGGTCTGAGGCCAGATTTGAACTCAGGAAGGTGGGTCTTCCTGAGTTTAGGCCTGGAACTAATTTGCAAAGCTCCTATTCTATGTTCCTTAGTGTACTAGGTGGTTTTAGAGACAAAGAAATAAAAGGTATAGTGCTAGCCTTGGGAGAGTTCATTCTTAGGTTTGGGTAAATGGAAACAGAAAAAAAATGAAACAATTAGGAAACTGTTATGGGTACCATATGGAGCAATGGTAGAACAAGACATTACCAGTACATATAAGTGCCAAGGAAATGCAGGGCTAATCAAGGCAGGCTTACTGGAAAAGGTGACAGTTGAGTTTTGTTTTGTAGGAATCATTGGACATGGGTTGACAGCAGAGGAGGAAGAATTATTTTAGCTGGAAAGAACAAGGAAGAGGAATGGTTTAGAAACAGGAAGGAGGAAGGTGGGGGTGGGGGAAAGAGATTGACTTAATTGGAATAGAGTGTACACGGTGGAAGTAACCAAACATAGATCAGTGACCAAGCATTGAGGGAGGGACCTGAAGACTACCTCTGTACTTTTCCCCTCTGTAGCAATGGGAGCAGTCGGCTAAAACTATGTTTTAATAGTTAACTGCATAAAGTTTAGTTTAGTTTAGTAGTCAACAAGCATTTATTAACCATCTACAATGTGCCAGGTACCGCACTAAGCAGTGGGGATTGATTGTTGTCCTTCATTCTCGAAGAGGACCAAAATGGCATCACTATGCTAGAGTCAAGCTTCACTGTGTCCTACAGGAGATAAAAGATAGTCCCTGCCCTTGAGGATCTCATGATCTAATGGGGGAGACAACGAGCGAACAGATAGACACAAACAAGGTCATTCTGGCAGCTCTGATTAGTTTGTCATCTGCCAATGTCTAGATGAAGGAAGGACTTTGATTGTCTGTGATGCTGTGACAGGGGCTGCACAAAGGATTTGAAAACATCTGTGCCAGGGCCAGCTAGGTGACACAGTGGACAGAGCACCAGCCCTGGAGTTAGGAGGACCTGAGTTCAAATCCAGCCTCAGACACTAGTTGTGGGACCCTGGGCAAGTCACTTAACGTTGACTGCCTCACAAAAAAAAAAAAGACAAAAAACAAACAACCAAACCCCCCCCCCCCACAAAGAAAAAAGCCACATGTAACCAGACTCATTGTTTATCCAGCCCAGGATCCTGGCTCTTAATAGTGGTCTTTAGGGTCAAGTTGTGGGAGGTCTTAGTTGTTGTTCTGGTTGTTATCATCAGCATTTTAAGTACATGCTGCTGTAACATTCTAAATTTGCCTAATAATCTCTTTTGGTTTTTTTCTCCCTTTAAATCCTTATTACAGTAATGTTTGTCAATTAGTTTAGTAAACTCTGGGTGGTAGACCTTGGCCAGTCAGGTAGAGGCAAAAGGGTGTAGCTATCTGGGTAGCATTCCCCATTTGATCAAATTGAATATTTGGCTCTTAATAACACCTGAGCTTGGATTAAGTGTTGAGTTCTTTATCATAGACCCAATTAGTTTATCAGCCCAATAATATATCTTCTAAAAGAGTTTTTAGAGATTCATTAGACTTGAATTCTTCCCCCAATAGGCTCAATGTTCATAAATTTTCAATGATCTTACTCTTTATTATAGATGCTTATACTTGCCTGATACAGAAATAAGACTCACTGGTCTGTAATTCCCCAGATTCCCTTCTGGATGAACCAAAGTGCTAGCAATTCACGGGTCTTGCATACAGTGGTAATTTGTAAGGACAGATTACGTATTTTGGCCACTGATTCTGTAGTTCTGCTTTCAAAACTTCCTATTCCCTGACATTTGATTATATTAAGTTATCTAGTTCTGACTACATTAGATCTGGAACATCTGGTGTATTTGTATTTACCATTTTCTGAGCTTAGAACTCTGAACTATCTATTCCAAAAGTTTGTAAGTAGAAATCTTTCTGATGTCTCCCCCACGAAATAGCAAAGCAAATACATGTTTTCATTCCTCTGCCCTTTTTTCATCTCTGATCACGAGTATTGAGCTATGATCACCAGGTGGCTATATGTATGCTGTCTTCTTATGATGATAGATTTAAAGGGCCTGTTATGAGTTTTTGAGTCCTTTGCAAAGTATTCCTTGAATTCTTTTACTCAGTTCATGTCTTGTTTACCCCTGGCCTGCCACATTCTCCAGCTTCCCCATTCTCCTTGCTTGGGCAGCCTTCCCAATTTAAAAAAGTTTTTCTCCTTGGGTGGATTCTTTCCCATTACTAATTAACCATACCTGGCTTCTGTTAAACTCTAGTGATCTTCAGAATTTAACAATAATCACTAAATTTATGTAGGCCGTAAAGGCTGTAATTACTTGTTTAAATAGTTTATGGTGAATTTGTTTTAATTCTATGCCACATCTTTTTCTCAGACTTCTTGATTTTTACTAATTCTGATCTTAGCTCTGCTGATGTCTTCCTGACAGAGACAGCGTTTTTAGGGAGATAGTCACATCAGTAACACACCTTCTATCTGCTAAGATATGGTGTTATATATGCTTACTATGCCCAGCACCTAATGATTTTTTTCTCAAAGTGTGTGTTCATGCTATAAAGCATGAGGTTTCTGTGAAATCTACTGGCTTCCCTCATTCCTTCTTCCCAAAGCATGCTGTCCCATAGCCAAATGTATATTGGCTTAATTTGGAGAGTCATAATTAATTTTTTTGTAGAATTTCTCAATTCCTTCATCCTTAGTAACCGATGTTGGTGCATAAGTTGCAATTATTTTCATGGTGGCCATTTAGCAAATATTTGTCCTTAGTACTGCTACATATGACAACCTATGAAATATTGTTTCTTATTGCTTCTAGCAACTTGATAAAACCTGCTCTGCCAGCTCCTTTATTAGCTTCTCCCAGGAATGCCTGTGAGCCATCTTCCCATTGCTGCAACTTCCTTTCTTTTTTTAAATGTCATTTATAGCAAGAATGTCAAGATTAATATGATTCACCTTTCTAACAATATGCCCACTCATGGGTCACTGGCTAAGAACGTCACATTTAGAGAACCATCAGTCAAACTGTGTACTTCTTAGTATCCTTTCTCCTGATCATGCCAGCATCACTGCAGAAACAAAGCTGCCCATTTCACATTTTTCTTTGTTTCATGAGTTGCTGAGGCCAGAAAATTTCATTAGCTGGTAGCCAGGTACTGGCAATGGGCTTCTCCATAACTAATGAGATTGAATCTTGGAAAATAGACCCAGTCTCTTGCCAGAGTTAGCCATTCTAGAATTTCTAGCATGGTAAAGGCTTCAAGAGTTTACATTCAGCTTTCATAGCCTTCAGGAACCCAGAACCATGTCCATGACATAGAGATTCATCAGAATAAGACTGGAGGAGCTGAACAATTTAATTCTAAACTATTTAAATATGTAACTGAAATCTCTATGGGAAATGGGGAACAGAAATTGCATCAATACTAACTATAATATTTTTATTCAGAAGATTAATTAATATAAAGTAATTGGGAAGGGAAAAGGAAACACACATTTATTAAACGCCTACCTACTAAGTGCCAGGCACTGTTGTAAGCACTTTACACATATTATCTCATTTGACCAATTACCACAAAAAGGACCCCTCAAGAACCTAGGAATCTCCTTAATCATCAAATATCTGACTTACTTAGCAGAGAGAGATGGCTGCCACAGGCAACGCTCGATTAGAATATAAACTCACTTGGGACTTGAACACATTCTCTAAAAACCTTAACTGAATCCTACTCTCCTTACTCGCTGACTTCCTGAAACTCCTTTGATTCACAAATAAATTCCCTGAAAAAGGTGTTTATACTTGATGCCTTTATGTTTCTTCCCACTCTTTTCTAAACCTTCTGCAAACCAGCTCCTGGTCTCATCATTCAACTGAAGCAGAATTACCAGTGCTCCCTTAATTGACAAATCAAATGGCCTTCT